TTTATAATGTAACAGTACGTGGAGTTCACCTTCTTGAAACTATATGCTAAAGTCTGCTGGTTCATCTTTTGGAAATGTCTGAGGACAATCTATCACTGAAATTTTGTGCAAAATCATAGAATATAGGGCTAAGAAAAAGGGAAATACGTTCTAGAATTTTATCAGAAGGGATATTTCCATTGAAATAAGGCAGCATTAATGTTACTATGTAAATAGTGACTAGAACCTGTCTAGAATAGTGCTGACAGCTTTGGCTATGTATTTGCAGAAAAGGTAAAATCAGCCTACATTAGTAAAAACCCTCTTACCAACTGTTTTGCCATACAAGAAAAGTCAGAGAGCTGATTTACTTGGCCCAATAAAATAGGGGTAGATGGAATATTAGAAGGTCAGCAGAAGGAAGAACTGTGTAAAGCTAAGGGCAATGTTTGCATGAAAGGGAACAGTAAAGGCTGCTCAAGAATACATTTGGATTGGAAAGTAAAAGGGTTTTAATCTTCTGAGGCCCTTCCAAAACTGTGTTGGAGTCAAGAAACTCAATCACATTTTCATACACTGAACACACATTTCATGAGCTAGATGTCATGAAAATACCTTTAACAAGCTAAAGACAGTTTATGAAATAGTTTCTATGATGTAGCTGTGTGTTGCAATGAAAGAGCGAATTTGCTGACCTAGAGGTCCTTGTTCCTTTCTCTTAATTGTAGTGTGTGAAGGGAAATTTTTGTTTTTCTTTAATGTATTGGCAGTCTTTGATACTACTGAGTGTAAGATTTCTCCTGGTTGAGATTCTTTCTGAATAATTTCTTTTTTTTTTCCTGTGAGAATTGAAAAATCGTTGCAAGCCCTTATTCTCATGCAAGAAAAGTCAGAGGTTTCTTTTTTTTTTAATTTTAATTTTAATCTTATGCCATGCATGTGATTGAGTTAATGAGGATTTAGATAAAATGGTTAGTATTCAAAGGATGGTGACATTATCATGCATGTTCACCACATGTAAACCAGTTAGGACAGTATGCTGAGTAGTGCTGTGTCTATATGAATTTGAGATTCAGAGTTAGCTGGCTATGATTTAATCCAGATATAACAGTAATAAAACTTTTGCCATCTTTTTCTTAGTAGAAATGTAGTTTGAAAATACATGGTAACTTTCAGTTGGAAGTAAAAATCAGTACCAAAAATTATTTGTAAGTAGGGGGTTTAAAATTCAAAAAGTAACAATTATCCTTGAACAAACACAGCAAGCACAGAAGCAAGTAGCTTTGCAAAAATGTCTGTAAGACATTGCTTCCTTGACCTTGTAGTAGCTGCCTCTCAATGATGAGATGACACATTTAACTGCTTTAACTTATTATGCTTCTGTTTTCAGCCCTACATTCTTGCACTTACAAAACAAAACATGCAGGCCAAGATATTCTGAGGCATTTTGGAGGCATGCAAGATTTCTGAATGATGGCCTGGATTTTAACCCTTCCCTTTTTTTCAAAAGTCTGTCTGACAAGGAATTTTAAGACTAGTGTGATTATTAATGGTCTTCTAGATACAAAAGCATAGTTTACCTAGTCTTTGAAATTCTACGTTAGGTGCATACAAGCACCTAAGGTAAATGAATCACACTATGTCCCTTACTAGCACACATTGATACAATATTATTTAATGATTATATAGTGTTGATGGGCTGTGGCCTCACTTTGGTCATAATCCCAATTTGTTAACACAAACAATTTTTCATCTTTTTCTTGAAGAAATCACAATCAGTGATAGAGATATGAGAATGCATGAAACAAATGGCAAGACACAATTAAATAATACTGAGATACCCACAGATAAGACTTTTGACAATAAACAAAAAGGGTGATAGCATAGTTTTCAATGAAACCAAGTAGCTTGGACTGGCCTTTATTCGTACTGCTTAAGGTTAGCACCTGCTAGAGCAGAGTGTCTTCATTCATTCTGCATAGCACTTAATCCAGTTCTTCCCTGAAGCCTGTGCAGTTCCTGCTTCGCCTTAAAATATCATTATTATTTTATCTGTTTAGTTCAGATTGTTTGGATTGACATGAGGTTTACTCTCCTGAATGATGTGTTCCATGTGTGCTGGGGTATGGAGTGAAAACATCTGCAGAACTTTCTTGGGTAGCATTGGTCTGAGTTTAAATTGATTAGGTTTCTTCACTGTGTCTCCCGTCAACTGTTCTTTGGATGATGGCTCTATATTTTCTGGATTGGAGTGAGCCAAAAATTGAATGGGGGCTCAGCTAATAATTTCAGTGCTGAAGGCAGTCAGGACCCAGTACTCAGGCATGTTCCTTGATCACCTCTTATTTGTCATCTCCTTGACTTTGGACCATGAAGACCTGTGGCATTTCAAGGTTACCTGAAGTATGGCTTAGTTTGGCTATTGTACTGTCCAAAAACTGCAGCATCTCCAAGGTTGTTCTCAAATGCATCAGTTCTCTCACTGTCTGTAGCAGAAAGGATCATTAGAGGGGTGGGAGGTAAAGCTGAGGTCACCAGCAATTTTAGCCAGCTGGTTTGAACCTGCTGCTGCATGTCTATAAAAGTTTTCTGTAAAGCAGCCGGAGACTTCTCCCTGTGTATTCCCTGGCAAGAAGTTTATTTATAAGTTGTGCAAATTAGCATTCTTTGGGCATCCATTTGAAGTCCCCTGTAGTGCATAAAAGGGCACAGAGAATGTGAATACTTCTTACTACAGGTAAATACAGTTACGATGAATATGATATTTATTTATCTTTGCTCATGAACAGAGGCAGCTTAGATTTTTATGTTTGTTTGTTTGTTTTGTGGGTTTTGTTGTTGTTTTGGTTGGGTTGTTTGAGGTTTGTTTGTTTGATTTTGAGGTATAAAAACCATGCTCAGATGTCCCAGATAATAAACCCAGTGGATTGAAGTTAGTCGTCATCTTTTCTCATCAGGTTCATGGTGGTAGGGAAACCTATAGCCATTCACCTAAAACCATTTAGAATTAGAATTCTTATCTGGACCACAGCTGGACCATTTGCACTGTGCTTCATTTATTCCATAGGTTATTCAGGAAGGAAGGAATGTGCAGCTAGTAGACACTTGAAATCTATGTCTTTTCTGTTTTGAAATCCTAGCTAGTTGCTTCCAGGTCATTAATGTCATATGGGAAAGTTCAGGAAGACCTGTGTTGCAAAATGTGATTAAAGATGTTAAATACTCAGTTCTTCATTTTAGAGAAGCTTGTTTATGTCATGAATCACAGAATGGTTGATGCTGGATATCATCTGGTCCAACCCCCTGCTAAAGCAAGTTCACCTAGAGCAGGCCACACAAGATTGTGTCCAGGCACCTTTTGAAAATCTCCAGGGAAGGAGACGCCACAACCTCTCTAGGCACTCTGTTGCAGTGCTCTGTTAGCCACAAAGTAAAGAAGTTTTTCCTCATATTCAGCTGTAACTGCCTGTGTTTGTTCATGTCCATTGCCCCTTATCTTGTCGCTGGGCACCACGGAAGAGTCTGGCCACATCCTCTCGACACCCACTAATGTTCACTCCTAATCCATATCTGAGGGCGGTTCTACACTTACCTCTTAACAATAAAAATCTGGACTCTTAACAGTAATAAAACACTGAAACGTATTTTCCAGCAGGGTAGATTAAAAAAGCTAAATTTTGAAGACTACAAGGTCAGCAACTTTAGTCTTTAGCTTATAGTTTGCAAAATACTTTTTGCTTTCAAAAATAGCAAAGGGTTAGATAAAAGGATTATTAAGAGCATGAATGTCCAGTGTGAAACCTTGATCCAAGCTTGTTTGTCTTTATCTCTAAACAGAGGCCCCTACACTTATGTCTTCCCTTGCCACACACACACATATTAAATATTAGTTCAGGGTGATTTCCTTCCTTCACAGATGGTAGAGCACACCAAAGAAGGCAAGAATAGAGTTCAGATCTTTCCATCTTACAGGTGTAAGGTCTAGTAATCATGGCTTTCATTTCTAATAATTATAATTTTCATTTGTGGTGCTTCTAACAGCAACACCAGCCTTAGGGTGGAATTTGCTAGAAATCTCACATTCTTAATATAAGAATCTCTGAAATTCGGTGTGTTTCCCTGATGCTGCAAGAAGGAAAATCCCAGACCATGATCCAATTTGACACAAAAAGAAACAGTTCTTCCTGAGCCTAAACAGACCTGTTGGATCATTTAATCCTGAAAAATATTTCCTCCAGGCTGATAAGAAGACCAGAGTAATTTTTAATAGAATGGCCAACCCTAGATATGGACTATAGGGACAAGAAAGCAGTTGCTTCCATTATTGCTGCCCAATAAAATGTTAGCATTTTTAACAACACAGTGTTGTTTATCCTGTAATTTTATTATGCATCTCATGGTATTTTGTGGCTTTTACAAAAGTCTTCATTTAAGGTGTCTGACTGACATCCTCAGTCTCAGTCCAGTTTTAATCTATTTTTATCTTCTTTTAAAGTAAGATTTGTCTAGTTCTGATACCTTGAAAACATGTAGATATGGTGCACCTTTCACTCTAGTGTTTGAAAACCATATGAGAACTACTGATATTATTTTGCAATTTTATTAGGACTTTAAATCTTCGGTAATCTCATGATTTTTTAAGACTGAAATTGGAATACCTTTATTTAACAATATAATGGCACAAATAAAAGTTTAAGCAGTTGTCTAGATTTTTTAAATGATAGTACACTACTCATATTCATATTGAAACTGTTGTTAAAAACATACTCAAAATATAATACTTCTATAAAGAACTTTTCCCTTCAATAATAAAAACTTTTTTCAATTTAATGTCATTTCTTTGTGCTTTCACCAATGCAGAAAAATTTGGATCAAATTAATTTTTTATGTCAACTAATTTGGCAACTCAATTACAGTAGCTTCATTTATTTTAATTTTTTTCCATTTTAAGTAAATCTGATGAAATAGTTTATCTGAAGTACATCAAAACAAAAGGTTGATTTTGATTTTTCTTATTTTAGATTATTATGTCATGCAATGAAAGACCATATAGTGCGTGTCGCAAACGAAGCAGAATTTATTTTGAACCGACAAAGAGCTGAAGATGTCCACAAGCATGCTGAGTTTGAGGTAAGTCTGAGAGTTGGTGCATTTCTGATTCTCTGTTTTCACTCACTTGTCACCTAGACTGTAACCCCAAACAATAAGAATTTTTTTTTCTTCCAAGGAAGAAATTTACATTGAAAGCATTTCAAAACTAGTTTTTAAAAGCTTTAGTAAATGTCAAACACAAGGAATGAGTTTAATTTCTCATCTTGTCACTGAAATTCATAAAAGTATTTACAGCTTGAAGAAAAGCCTTAATCAGAATGTCTAATCTGATATGGCACCCTTAGGTTCACAAAGAACTTTTCTGATTTATTGAAAATAGTAATGCAAATCACATTAGAATTTTTTTTTTTGTTGAGTTTTATCAACAGAATATATGAGTTCAGTAAGTAAAGCAATTAATACACTTGCGATACTTCATCAAAAATAAGAAATAGAAATGTTTTATCAAACGAACAGTATTTTAAGGTCATTTTGTTGGAAAGTCTCAAATTTTGGAGCACTCTAGAACATTCACCTGCTATAATTTATATATTGAAATACGATATTGCATATCTTTCTTGATAGTTAGGAATTGTTGACCATTGACATTAAGACTGTTTAAAATGTCTATTCAGTATTGGAAGAAGTAACAGAGCAACTGACTCCCATAACTCTTTAATGTCTATAATTCTTATTCTGAAAAGGAATTAGCATTCAATTTTTTTTTTAATCAATGAGTGTTGCAGTATACAATTTAAATTACGTGGTTTGAAAGTGATCCAAATGTAAAGAAAAACTGTTTTAAAACTTGTTCAGTTTAGCAGATTTTCAATTATTTATACAGAATTAATTTTGTTCCTATAAGAAAAAATCATGCAGAAGTAATGGAGCAAAGTTAAAACTTCATTTTTGACATGACTTTATCAAATATGGGTTTGCATTTTTATGGTGTTTTATACATTTCAGTAGCACTGGGTTTTATCATTTCCAAACCTGCCTTGTGTTGTCATACATTTGTGTAGATGTAAGTATAAATGTGCAAACATACATTTCCATGTTTTAATGCTCAAATGACCTAACATTAAGATAGACTGACGTAGTATTTATGATAATAAATAGCTGTATCAATTTATTCATCTGTCAGAAAATGTCAACAAGCACCTGGTGGCAAGAAATACGATACAGTACTCTTAGTTTTGATGAGGTTTTTATCTTCTTGAAACAGCTCTCTTAAATGTGCACTATGATGTACTAGTTCTTGTGCTCCTTGACCTAGCTGAAAAGTGCGAGACATAGAGATATCTGTTGTCATTTTGAATACACATAACCTTTACTTCATTTTGTCAGAGCAGACAGCAGACACTTGTCGTATGGGATTGCAACAACTTTATTACCAAGCTTATACTGGATATTTTGAACATAGGTAAAATCACATTTACAATTAAGTGTATGTCAGAGTGAAGTTTCATATTGCCTCAACAATAAATAACATTTGATATTTATCAGAGCATCATGCAGTAACCTAAGATAACAATGGAAGATTGAGTTATCTGCTCTTTGAAGAATACATTGAGGTATAAGATCTGTCAGAACTCTAGACAGAATGAGAATATTCAATTAACTTCCAGCTTCTGTTAGCAAATAGGATTTAGAATATTAACTAAATTCCCTAAAGGAATAGACTTAAGTCAGTCTTATTGTCTGGTGAAGAAACCAACATTTTTCATATATGAAAATTTTCATTACATTTGTCACCTGAAAAGCCTCAGATAAACATTTTAGATGAGTAGGATAAAAACTGCAAGTCATAAAAGAAAATTATGAAATGTAGACTGTGTTAAAGGCGAAATTCCCATGTACTTAAATAAGGTGATGGTTAAAGTCTGAAAGAATGTTTTATGGATTGTCTTTAATAATGGTGTGAATACAACTGAACATTTTACTATTCATCTACTTGAAAGCAGTAGGGACAAAGAAATTTCTGGTAGTTTTCTGTTACATAATTATAAATCTGTCCTTCTGTTTTTAATAAGCTGTATTGGTATATGTTCTGGGGTTTAGTACATGTTAATAATTGCTCTCAACTAGAGATGTGGGGGGATTTTTTTTTTTTTTATCCTTTAAACTTTAATTGAATCATTATGGATAAAATTATTTGGTCCAAGCTGCACCAAATTACTGTGTCTCCTGTGTAGTGGGGAGGCCCTGAACCAGCATCTAAAGTTTATCCTGTGACTTGTAGTCAGGGCCAGGGAAACTCATCCCAGAGTGGTTGCTTCACAGTTAACCATTGTTTTGTTGACCTTTGTAATTGTTCAGGAAAAAAAATGAAAATTTAATTTTACTGTCCAATGAACTGGTGAAATATTAACCTCATTACTAAAGCAGATCATTGTACTAATTGGTGCTTCCTTATACAAGAAGATAAATTGAAAAATGAATTAACCCTTTATGAATTTGTGTAACCATTGTTCTTTTCCAGATAGATTACTTGAAATAATGTCTGTAAACACAATGGAAAGACCATTGTTAAAATCTTACTGAATGCTAGTGTGATCTGTACTAAAAAGGTAGCATGCAGAAATATGAAGAATAAAATACAATTTAGTATGAGGTTAATTTTAATTGCTCTTTTGAATCCTAGAAAATTGGATTCTATTCAGTACTGTGTTACAGCATTGAGTGTTGGTTAAATGTACACAATAACTGAGTGCAAAAATGTCTCTTAAAAGGCATCTTTTAAATTAGCTGTTTTGAGAATAATCTAGCCTTTTAAATTTATACCTAGAAAATCATAGTGGATTTTTTTTAAATACTCTGGCTGCATTCCCTTCCTTTGGACACTTTTAAAGAATTTTACTAGGAGGAGAAATTGAGTTTGAACTTAACACGATTTTGAGAAAATAAATGGAAAAATATTGTGGTTATTATATATAAAGAATGGATTTATCAAAAAAAATACACTACAGAATGTTTACAGTTTAGAAACAAATTTGCATGAAGTCCAATAACCACAGCATTTATTTTAGAGGTAGTTTTCTCTTAAAGGAAACACGACGAAATATGATGTGGCTAGTAATATTTCATCTTTTTCATTTTAAAAGATGAGCAATTTTTTATCCATTACGGTTTTTAAAAGTGGTAGTATATTATGAAACTTTTTCACTTTGCGATATGAAATAGAAAATGTACTCCTTAGTTTTGTAGTTAAAAAAGTTCCTATTTAGCACCCTTAGTAATAAATTAATCAAATGGCTTTTTAATTCTAGGTCTTAATGTAGTTTAAAAATCAAAACCAGTGTATGTAATTTTTTTCTTGTATATTATGCTATGTATGTTATACCTGTATTTATACCTGAGAACACATGAAACATTTCCCACGAGAGGCTAACTTTTAATGCATATCCATGGTCACACATATACACACAGAGATATATGGCTAAATGTGGTTTTTTGCAATTCTGTTGTCTTTGCCCTTGTTATTTCAATTTTTACATGTTCTAAGTGAATGCTTTTTCGTGGATAGTATATACTAGGAGAACCATTTCAATGGAATGGTATGACCTTGTCCTCTGAAAAGTATTTTATTGGGTTCTTGTAGTATTTAAAGAGTTTTAGTAAATAATAATTTTAGGGCAATTCTAAATATCCTGTCTTTAATAAAGTGAATGTGCTTTCATTCCTAGTCGCAGTGTGCTCAGTATGCTGCTGACAGAAGAGAGGAGGAGAAGATGTGTGATCACCTCATCAGTGCTGCTAAGCATCGGGATCATGTTACAGCCAATCAGCTGAAACAGAAGATACTCAACATACTAACAAATAAACATGGTGCCTGGGGAGCCGTTTCTCACAGGTAACTTGCAAATGTAAAATGTGTGGGGCTTTAATCGTTGCTTTCAAAATTTAAGAGAAGCAGGCATTGTATAACTGAAATATGAATGCATTAGGAACTTTAATGTACTTAAATGTAGCATGTGCAAAGCTCAACATAACTAAAGTGCAGCTCAATTCTGCAGGTACTCCTATTTAAATAATTAATTTTAAAAATATGTAAAATAGATAATTTCTTCCATATGTAACTGGTGTAGTGTTTGAGGTTTTAATCAGAACTGTACTGAGTACTGTTTTTAAAAGTTCATTCTATTCGAAGATTAAATTAAATGTTTTCATATATCATGCACAAAATCAGAGCCTTGCTCTTCTGAATCACAAAAATAGCCAGTGGCTAAGATGCTGACACTCATGTGGAAGACTTGAGCTGAAATTGCTCCTTTCCTTCATTCAGAGCAAGGTCTTGAACCTGGGTCTGTCGTGTGAGTGCCCTGTCTGCAAAAGTAGAGACTGCCAAGTCTCTTATTTGTCCATTCTAGCCACAAATATTTGATTATTTATTCAGAGTGAAACAAACAAAAGAAATCAAGGTAGTCCTGCTCCCAGATACCCAAAATTTTATAGCTTGATTTTCTACTTAAATCCTATTTAAGTCTGCTCTGAGTCAGGCAGACCAGAACAGAAAGTTCCCTCTTATTCCTGAAAAACCTTTTCAGTAAGAAACTAGTTGAAATGGATAGACTAATGCAAAAACTTTTTTCTAGATAAATATTCTTAAAAAATATATTTTTGTTTAGATTGACTACATATTTAGGGTTTAAGCCTATTAGAAAAGTTGCCAAGTAGTTTATTTGACATGTCAGAAATAAGGTTTAATAAATACCACATATATTCTTCATTCTTCTTGTAATTCTGTCTAGTTTGTTCTTGCAGTTATACAGTGTTTAAAAAAACTGAAATTTTTCATATTCATTATCTAAAGAAATCACTCTTTCCTGGATGATGATGGAGATGTATTTATTTTTTAAGGTGGGAAAAAAAAGTTTGAAAATTCAATCTTACAGAAACTCTGCAGTCTAACACCAGAACCATTCTGGTGGAAATTACAAAAATAATGAGTAGAAAATTGTGATATGGTTAATTCAAAGCAGTCTTAGTCTATAAGGGATGCTCATGTCATCCCTGGTTGAGGCTTAAAGCTTTGTGTCTGGAGAGTTCAGGATGATGAAAATAAATGCAATTTTCAATCCTTTTAATGTCTTTGAATAATGAATAACAATTTTTAAATAATGTTGTTGCTCAAGTTTGTGAATGGCTGCAGCCACTTTGCAGGCTTAAATCAGTTCCTGGTCACTAACTTTCCATGAAACTATCTCTTCCTAGGGCTAGGTAACTTTTATCTCAAGGATTGTTTATGGCATCCTTAAAGAGCAGCAGTCCATTGCTGCAGCTTTTTTTTCTCTTAAGTCCATGATAGTTTTTGATGGGCCGTAACACAGCTTGACACCTGTGAGAAACCTATCAAATTTCATACATGAGACAAAAGAAACTTATTTTATCCCTGTCATGCCACTTCACCAGTGTGTTTGCTTCTCAGTGACTGGCAGGCCTGCTTTCCTGTTTTGGTGCTTACTGTGTTAGGTGAAGCTGTTGGCTTGATTATGTTTTAGCTGCAGGCAGCTGCTTAACCTGGAGAATGGGGGACATGGTAACAGCACAAGGTTTCCAAGTGGGGTTCCCTCTTTGAAGAAGCCAAGCGGGAAGCAAATGTCCTTGCACTGCAGGTTTTGCCATGTGTGCCATGGCAGCTTTGTGATCCAGCACACAAGTACACCTTCTGTCATGAGACCTAGTGGATTGTGAATGGGAAGGACTGGGATGACAGCAGGGAAAGGGAGATGCCCAGTGGGAGAGCTTCTGAGCCTTGTTAGGGACTGAGGACATTCATTCTTAGTAGGCAGATCTGAAAGGCATCAAGGGCAAAAAATGGAGAGAGGTCTCATTAAACTCCTCAGGCACAGAAGGCATAAACTGTTTTTAGTTAGGTAGCTCCTCCAATACTTCAATACGATGAAAATTGAGATGGGTTCCAAAATCATACACACCTCTGGTCTTGGCTGGCAGGAGACAAAACAGGAATCAAGTCTCTGGTTTTAGTTCCTGACAAACAGTTACAGCATTAGCAGATTCTTTATTGACTGTACCCCAGGAGGTACAGCCTGACTGGAATACAGAGTTACTTTAAAACAAATGAAAAAACCCAGGTTGTCATTCCAGACCTCTAGATCTCTGTAGTGATTCCATCATTTCTGTCGGGGAAAGTGTTCCCGGTTCTGAAAGTGCACTGATGGTCTCCTGTTCACCTTAGGAGCTGAAGACCCTTCATTGAAATGGTGAATTAAGGAGATTGTCCTCAGGCCCAGAAGGGGCAGGGGAAGAAAACAGGCAGCCACTTCTGCACAATAAATACTTGGGTAATAGCAGTGCCTTTGACATCCAAAATGGATAAGATAATGGTAAGAAAATATTTGGGCGAACATGAGTGTGATTCTTCAAAGCTTCAGTTCTCTATTGCATACACAGCTGCAGCTACTGAATTACTGATAATTGTAGCATATAGTACTCATACATAGAATCATAAAATCATTTAGGTTGAAACGGATCTTTGAGATCACCAAGTCCGACCATTAACCTAACGCTGTCAATAATTTCCCTAAGTGCCACATCTACAGTCTTTTAAATACCTGCAGGAATGGTGGCTCAACCACTTCCCTGGGCAGTCTGTTCCAACATTTCACAACCCTTTTGGTGAAGAAATTTTTCCTAATATCTGATCTAAACCTCCCCTGGCACAACTTGACACCATTTCCCCTTGTCCTATATGTTTTTGTTTCTCTGTTCGCAAGATAAACAATTTTTAACTTCTTTAACATTGATGCTCATGCTGCAAAATATTACGGTCTTATTTTGTCAAATATGACCCAACTGTAGAGAACATTTTTCCTTGTGTTTGTAGTTCAAGGCAATGAGCTTGTAAGCCTCCCCAGCTTTTGTGTCTGTGTGTTTTGTCTTTGCAGAAAGCAGCAACCAGCATTTACTATTTAATCTGTAGATGCCACAAAGTTTACTCTTTGTTTATTAAGAAACAAAGAGACTATTAAGAAACACAGAAGGCTAGTACTGAGAGGAAAAACAAGAGGTTTGATGAGTGAAATACTATAGTATTTTTAAATTATGAAATGTAAATATATTATCATAAACTGTTCTCAAAATCTTTGAAGAAAGAAGAATGAAATTGAATGGTATGAGTCAACAAAATATCATATGAAACCTTCAATTCCAAGTTCGATTATAGTTACATATAGGCAGCTTAAATAAAAATAACATAAAATCATAGGTGACTTGCATTTCAATAAGCTTCCTGATTATCTATGAATTTATGAAGGTGAAATTAATTATAGGCTAGTGCTCCACAACTTAAATAAATTCCTACAAATGCAGTATCAATGTACAACCAACCCATGTCCATACATTAATCAATCAGTAGAGTTTGAGTTGGTCTGAAAACCTCTTACTCTTTCATCTCCTGAATAGAAATAGTAAATAAGAGTTTTGAAAAAAAAAAGGTAGTTTTTATTTCTTGTCAGTGCTAGTATGTTTCCTTTATGTCTTAATGTGAAAACCAAAATTCTTTTGGCTGGTTTCTTGCAAGTGTGAGCATCAACTCCTCTACAACAAACAGAAATAACTGAATCATCTGACTTTCCTCTACATATCTCAGACAAAGAATAATAGATTTCAAAATAAATCTCATTATTTTGTTACAAATCCTCTTTGTGCCCTTAAACCAAACTAATTCTGTTTTTCACATTTTGGCAATTTGACACTTTTAGGTATCTCCATAATAGCTTACCCTAAACATACTGGTTTTCCTGTTTTTAATTTCAGCATTATACCAAAATTAGAATTCTGCAGGTTTTTCCCATTCAGATGAGAAAGTGATTATTTCTTTGATGCATTGCCACTTATTCAGAGTGGATATGCAACATTCTATTTCCTTGAACTCAGGAAGAATCAAATAGGCTGTTTCATAGCTTAGCATTCAAAGCTTCCTTAAGCCAGCACTTACCCTTAGCTTTTTTCAGGGTTATAGTTTTCATGTCACAACATATGCTTCCTTCTGTCTTCTCTGTCAGCTTCATATGGCACCTCTCTTCCTCCCCATCTGCTTTCCTCCCCATACACATCTTTCTTAAAAAAAAAAAAAAAATTAGTGAAACTTGTCTGTACACACAGTTTGAATTCCTTATCAGCCATATGCATGCCTGTGTTTTGGGCCATAAGCTGTTACTGTATTACTTAAGCTTCTTGGTTTTATCAGATATCTCAACTTTTCAAAAACTTTTATTCAAGGATACTGTATGTGTAGCTCTACCTTACAGTTTCTATAGGCCTAAAGCAATCTAGGGCAGTAAGAAGAGTTCAGCATGCCAATTAGTGTTCTAAATCTAAATATGAAGTGCTTATCATAGATATTTTTGCATGATCGGTTTTGATATTCACAAGAGTCCTACTATAATGAGAAAAATTATATTTAAAAATGAGACTTGGTTCTCCTGCTTTCTGTGATTTGATGAAGGAGGTTCCACCTACATTAAAGCCCTTTACAAAGAGCAAGTATACAAGGGCTTTTTCTGTTCAAATCCATCTTTGGTTAAACTAGACACCCATAACAAATTAATCATTCATGGTGGAAGGCAGAGCTGTCAAACTCATTCTGTGGTGAAGACCAAATTCGTCTGGGGAGACAGGCTTGAAATAAAAAGTTTCTTGCCAGACAGCTAGTTCTGCCTCTCACTACAAAATGTGCTTCTGCAGAGACTTGGTTCTGCTGGGGGCTGAGAACAGAAAGAGAACTCCCCTTTCCCAAGCCTATGGGGCTTGGTAGTTAAATAAGTTGATTCTGGCACAACACTGGTTCTAAACCAAATATTTCCATCTTACAACAAAGGAGACCAGATC